CCATGGTGCGAGCAGTATGTTTTTATTCTTTCAAATGGAAATTAACATTTTTAGACTCAGAGTTGTGTTCCTTAAGAGCATGATATCCGAATGAAATGTTTGCAAGAATCATTTTAAGGCTCCCGTAGCTCCAGAAGAAATTTGGCTAACACTTGTTTGAGTTCATAGTCTGAACCCTCACTTCTGTGAATATTATTTTAAGATTTGAGAGTTTGACACTATTTTTTTTCTTAAGAATTAAGAGTAGCTAATCTTCGGTGAGAGGTAAGTCCAGAGAGGAAGGCCTGCAGCTTAAATTAGGGTCCAAAATAGATACTGAGATGCAAATTCTTTAAAGCTACTAGCATTATAGCAGGTGAAAAGAACAGATATTTTAGAATGGAACTATGGAAGCAAAAAGAAAATATATCTATTAATCATAATCATTTGGGACGGGTTTTCAGCTTTTCAGGAACAAAAAAAAAAAAAAAATGTAGGAAAAAAATGAAATGGTATTTTTGTGTAGAAAGTTCACCCAGAAATGTCAAAATATGCAACTGAAGATGCATTATAATCAGTTTATATTAAGAGGTCTTGTTGATATTAGCAGATAATCTGGTGGAGAATCTCTTGGGAGATTTTGAGTATGAGGTGCAGGTCCCATATCTGTTATATCGAAATGCTTCTCAGGAGGTCAATGGAATATGGTTCTATGACCCACAAGAACGCGAAGAAGTTGCAAATTTATTTAGCAGGTTGGCTAATATTCATTGCTCCTCTTTCTTGTCTTCATGTGCTTTATTTGAGGGTGACTTGTTTCAGATATGAGACAAACAGGAAAAATTTGCTTGAAATTAAAACTTATTCTTTTGAGCTTTACAATTACGGCAAATTGATCATCTTGTTTTTAAAGAATTTTTCAAATGCTTCTCATATTATTTTGTATGCTAATTTGATTTTTTATTTTGTTTTTTGGAAATTAAATTATGTTTAATCTGTCGTAGGTTTGATTGTGTTCTCTATCAAGTAATTTTTCATTGCGTATTAGTATATATTATTTGTGGCATGGTCTTTGATGTTTTGCTTTTGTTATTTCAACTTCTGTTTTATCAAACTACTTTGTTTTATTTGTAGGATACTTAATGCATATTCTAAGGTGCCTACAAAGTCAAATGTATCTTCTACAAAAAGGTAATTTACATTTTATCTGTTTAATCCAGGAATGGTTATTGGGCTTTCAATGGAGTTGGTTTCATGAGAAGTATTTGATTTGGTGGCCTCATCATACTTAACCAGACTGATTCTGAATCAGATATATATCCAAAACCTTTGGAGAGGTAGAACTGATCTACTTGGGAAAAAATGTTTTTACTTTGGGACTGAAAAAATATACACAGGGTTCTCTCTCAGCAAGCGCCGTGCGGAAGTGCATTTATTACTTGTTGGGCCTGTTCTTCAAGCTGTTTAAAGTTAAATAGTTAATAGATCCATTGAACTGCCTCTTCAGTCACACACACTAGCTTCACATGTATTAGTGGGTAATAGAGTAGGTATGATGATTTTGATGTCAATATTATTGATTTCGTTACAGTCAGTCTGGGTCATACAATATTGTAGATAGTCTATTGTGTCCTCTTCGTTATCACTGGTTGTTGTATTATTGATGAGTTTCTGCAGATGTAGATCAATCTGTCACTATTAGACATGCATTCTTGTAGACAGTAAGAACAACTTTACAAGAGTGTAGCCCCACTCTTTCTCTACACACAGACTCCTACGTATAACTATTATTTTGACAGTGAGTTTGAAGAACTGGAGGCAGTTCCTACATCGACATTAATAGACAGTCGTTTGGAGCCACCTTCTTCTACAACCTCAAATATCACAGATGTCCCAGATGACCGTTCCTCCATGAAACTTCTTCAGTGTATGCTCTCTTACCTTTCTAAGTTTCCTGACTTCATGTGTACTTACTTTTTAGTAAAGTTTCCATACTATCGAAATCAAATTACTAATGATGTCTGTGTAGACTTATTTTCCCCCAAACAGAAACAAAATTACTCCGATATGAGACTAAAATTAGAAACAATTCAAAAAGATACCAAAACACAGAAAATTCTTAAGAACTAAAATAACTAAAAACCTAATGAGGAACCTAAAAAGTAGGAAAAAAAACTAAAACTGGAAAAAAATGATATTTACATGCATCGCTTTATATTTCCAGTTATTTTAAAGTGCTTTGCAGGTGTCGATGAATATCGGAGACCATCCAAACACATCGATCCCAGGGCAGTGGTACCACTCTCCCTCAGCCCTTATCCCGACATCTCACCCGCATGTTATTCCCATGCCCGGTTTACCGGCCTCCCAAACGCACCCCAACTTACTTGCCTCGACCCCTCTAATGTCCATTCCCGATAGCACAGAACCCAATACTGCCACCAAGCTCGTGAAGCCATCGAATTTTTTCAGCCCAGCCGCTGTGTCATCTTCACCGGTTATCATACCTCCTGTCTTGTCGTCTGTGCACCAGATTGGGCCCCATTTGAATCCCCCGGAGAGTCTGCAGAGACCTTACGGTGCACCCTTGCTCCAGCCCTTTCCACCACCAACCCCACCACTGTCTCTTACTCCGATTTCTGTGCCACAATTGAATTATGGGCTGGCAATTAGCAGAGAGAAAGTTAGGGAAGCACTTCAGGTGCTTGTTCAGGTATGCTCTTGAATCTTGGTTCTCTTTTCTTAAGGTTTATATATCCCAGCCTTGAATGTTGTTTCTGTTTGGGCAGATAACTTGTCAGGAAAATGTAACTTTTTCTTATTTAATGGTTATCCATGAGTTTATTGTCAAGTAAAATGCCACCGTCATCTCATGTGAGTCGATTGTTGCATGCAGGATAATCAGTTCATCGACATGGTTTATCGAGCAGTGTTGAATGCGCACCAGTCATGATGGACGGTGGAGATTACTGGTTGTGTTTTCATATATCTGTCTTGTTATACAGGGAAAATCTGTAGAACTTTACCGTTGTCCATTTGTAGGTCTCTCTCTTTCCATCTCCAAGAGAGTTTGTGTATAGCGATTTGTTTTAATGATATAGCTGTTTGATTTAGTGTTGCATTGATCTTACCTTTGGTTAAATGGAACACATTTAGTCGAGTCTTAGGGTATGTTTGTATGCAAATATACTCACTCAAAATTATTTTTTTTTGGTTAATCAAAATTAATTTTGAAAAAAAAAAAAAAGTAGTATGGTTAATTGTTAGTGAAAATTTTTTAAAATAAAATAATTAAGTTAATTTGATGTAAAAGTAGAAGAGATATGATTTGACGTGATAGTTAAAATTATGTGAGTGAATGAATAATAATTTAAAGTTGATGTGATGTGTAACAATGATTACTTGATATTATTTAGTTATATTGATAATATTAAGGATGGTAAAGTTGAGTTAGATTTTGGATATGAATTGACTATGTATTGAGATATTTGGTATACAAAATTGTTCAAATTATGTGAATTTTATTTATTTATTAGAAAATTGATAAGGTCTTCGAATTTTTTTTTTTTTTTTAGAAATTTAGGGGACGCTTGGATATAAATAATACTAGTTTTAATTGGATTTATTGGTTCAAATGAGTTCATTTTAAATAAAGTGATTGAGTGGAGGATTAAGTGAGATTTAAAATCTGGATTTAATATATTTAAAATTAATTATTAAAGTTTGACGTAATATAAAAGTAAGAGAGGGATTATGGAAAATGATAAATAGTTAAAAATATGTGAGAGTGAATAGTGAATTAAAATTGATGTGATATATGATGATGATTTTATTAATATTATTTGATTATATTGATAATATTAAGAAAGTTCAGTTGGATTTTGAGTTAAAAAGTGGAAAATATATCCAACCAATCAAAATTGGTTATATTTTGTAGCCACTTGTGCCCTTAGAGTTCAGTAATTAAGTCACTTAGAAGTGAAAAAAAGCTGACTGAGTTGAAAGAAGTTCAATCCTTTATTTTGATCCTCCAGATATTTGTTGAAGGCAATTTTTTTTTTAAAAAATAACATTGGATTAATCGAATTAAGTCAATTAGGATTGAAAAAGATTTATTGAGTTGTAATCTGAACTTTATTTTGAGTTTGTGAATGGACTTGAATTTTGATTTTTTATACATCCTCATATAATAATAAT